TCTTCTTCTTTTTTCTCTTCTCGTACGAATATTATAAAGTTGTATAGTAAATACAAGTTACGAATATATTAGGATAAACACGAGTCAGATTTAATATCGAAAATATTTTTCTGAGTTCAAGGAACGACGAGAAAATATCTGAAAAAAAATAATTGGGATAATTGTTTAAAAGTATTTTGCCGTATCTGTACGAGGCATTTATTGTTTATTGAATAAACAAGTAATGAAAACGCATAAAAATTGATTGATTAAGGTACACGTACGAGGACGAAAACTTTTTGCGAAATCGTAAGGATCGGTAAATCAAATCAACTTTGCAGATCTGTATTTTTTCAACAATTTCAAATTTAGAAACTTGATGACTTAAACACTTCCTATTTCCGTATGAATTATAAGATACGACTTCGAAAATCATCGCATAGTGTGCACGATTTGATCGATATTCTGGACTCATTTTTAACAATCTCGTGCGCGCGTAATCTTTGGAATTCGATAGTGGATTATCTAAATATTATCTGTGAGAGTACTTTACACGAGTAGAATTTTGATGTAATCGAAAGTGGAAACGCGATAAAGATGTTATCCGTTCGTCGCTCTTCTTTGATCCGTCCGTTGATCGAAAAAATTTCCTCCTGCGAAAGGCTACGAGTTATTTCGATAACGATTAACCCGTGGTCACTGGCGTGCATAATGAATATTACACGTATGTATTGTATAAACAAGTACGTACACTACCGTTCAAAAGTATAAGAGTGGAGAATATGAAATAGGAATTGCAGTTTCCAATTTTGGAAAAGGAAATTTTATGATAAAATTTTAAGTAAAAGTTTAAATTCTAACTTCAATTTTCATTTCTGGTTTAATGATTAGGAATTATGACTACACTTTAGACTAATAAACGATATTAATTAAGAAAGAAAAATTATTAAGGCAAATTGTTGTATAAATAACGTATGTTGAATATAATGGGTTAAGCTCTTTAAAATACGTTAACCGGAGATTCCTGAGATAAACCAATATTTATCATTGAAACAATTTTCTTCTTTGGGGGAAATTTCACTTTAAGAAAGTGAAATCAACTTTCCAAGTTCGTTTTCATTTTCTATTAATTCCTTAAATGATACTAGACACGACAAAATTTTTAAATTACGTAACGTTCTTTGTTAAAATTTATCTCTTTATTAATTTCGAATAATAATTTAATTCCTGGAAAAAAATTGTATTGAAAACACGAAAAGTTGCTGAAACTTTGTTGATTTCATCCTCTCGAAGAAATTTCCTGTCGACGAAGAATTTTTTGAATTATAAGATAAATTTCTTTATATACGAAAACTTTTGCTCTTCACTGATAATAATTTTTCGATATTATACATGTGACGATGAGCAAGCAAAACAACGAAGAGTTAACGCGCCAATCTTTAAGTTAGTTGAAAAGGCAATTAAAAATATCACGAGGGATTAATTTGTTTGATAAAATTCACCGACATTGTTGCAAAAATTTCGATACTTGTGAACGATATTGTACATCATCAAAATGATAATTCATACGGAGAGGACAATGGAATAACTCATTCTAGCACGCAGGTTCACCGTATATAATTTCAATGCGATTAAACGGTTCTCTTGCATTCTCATAAGAGATAAAACGATCATCGTATACGACTCAGTTCATTTCTGGGATATCGAATGGAAAAAAAAAGTATTGCGCGTGGTTGCAAAAAAAGGAGAAATTTTCGCAGTGGCAACACACTTGTGAACTGTGAGGTGAAAAAAAACCAACGAAATTAAGTCACGAAATGCAAAAACGATGTTTTTCGTTTGAAACGAAGAGTGATTGGTGTATTTGATTCAAAGATGTGAATAATTTTTTTTTTTATTAATAATTGCAAAAAGTGATTCACAGATATATTTTCTATATGTTCTTTACATATTTAAAGTACATATTTGCTAATTTTGTTTCAAATTAATTGATTCATTGCATATATATTTGTTATTTATACAAAGTAATACATTATCGCAAAAGTGTTAATAATGATATCTATAATTCCTCAAAATGTATAATTTGTATTAAAAATAAGGCAGATAATATTGCTCGAAACAAGATTTAAGAATAATTTTATCTTTTAGGAAAAATGCATTTAAAAATACTGCACGATTAATGAAATTTTACAATCGATTTTCTCGAAAATTGCCATTCTCTTTGATTTATTTTTGTACAAAGAAATGATCCCTCCTCGCCTCGTGTCACGATTTTTGAACACACTCTATACTCGCGTGAAAGATGTGTATCCAAGTTAGTTGAGTAGAGTTGCTGGAAGTACAATCATTGAAGTGAAAGTCTTTGCATCGAGTTTGAGTTAATTAAAATTTATTATTCCATGCTTATTTCATATACGTTGTAATAAATATATTATATATTTATCGTTAAAATTTATATCGTCGAAACATAATTTTTTGAAAAATTTATCCAATACGATAAATACAAAAATTGCAGATATAATAAATCAAAAATATCATTATAAATGTGACTTTAAATTTACTATTAAAAAAAATTAACACAACTCGCATGATATTTCACACGCCATTCGTCCAAATGAAAATAGAAACAGAATTTCACCTTGTATCACAATCTGTTTTCTTCTTTGCGAAAGAAGAATTATTTTAAAAAAACGCTTGTTACTTCTCACAGATAAATTTTAATCAATCGGCTGTTACAATAAACACCCTATATATTAATAGCAATTCTCAGAGCGAAGCGAAGAAAGGTCATGCTGTAGAAAGGAAAGTCACATACATTCTTTGGCCAGAGAATAAGTAACAGTAGGTGTATATCGTTATGAGTGGATTCTTTTAATTTCGAATGTATCGAAGCTTATCTAAGAAAAAAAAAAAAAAAGCTATAAAGTTAAGGGATCTAATTCGAAACAAGCAAGGATAATCAAACTATCGCGTATCCATCTTTGGTATACACCAACGATAAGGCATTGAGCGTACAAGCATGTCAAGATTATTATGAGAACACCGCTTTCAGTTTGATACTGCACGTGCTGCGAGCGGTTTCAAAACTTATTTTGCAGTGTAATGTTTCATTCGAGAATAGAGAGAGAAATATAATATCTGCATAAATAAATTAATAGTGTAAAATAATATAAAAATAATAAGTAAAAAACGAAATGTAAGATAAAATATAGTGAAATATTGTTTAAAAGTGATCGAAAAAAAATATTGGTGGTGGACAGTAGTTATTTCGTCGTGGAAAAATAAAAGTTAAGTTTGTAAATTTTCATATATAGTTTAAGATTTTAAGTAAAAGTTATCGATGATAACGAATAATGTCTAATAATATTTTTTTCCTTCTTCTGTTATTTTGCAAATTTAGTGTAAACAAAAATCAGTAATTCGTATCAACAAAGAAAAAACTTACTTCTCTTTTTGGCAATATCTCGTATAAATTTAGTAGTAAACAAATTCGTATCGATAAGAAGAAACTAGAAGGAAAATGTGAGATCAAAAATTGTTTATAAATTCATGGGAAAAAATTAATAAATCTAGAATTAAAAATAAGACACAATAAGGCTATCTAACAATTTATTAATAATATACACTCGACCACTTCCGCCTAGATATTATAATATCTATGTATTGTCTTATTGGATGAACCAATTGTCTATTTGTGGTATGTGGTCACTTTGGAAAAGACAAAGTGCTGTCTTTGAGCGCTAGAGTAAATATATCTTACATCAAAATTAATTAATAAATTGTTTTGAGACATAATTTGAAACATCATATAACGATAAAATAATATTTTAAGAAGGAAAGAATTATCAGAGAGATCCTAAATCATTTTTAAAAATTTACCTCGATATTTGAATGTTTTATTAATAATAGCGAATATTATAATTTTATTCTATATTTTATCACTTATATTATATTTTCTCGACCTATTTTTTTACGTATAATATCTATAATTTCTTGAATCAATCCACGCGATAATAGCACGTCATATTTATCACGTTACAGAAGTTGATAGATTCAGTAAATATATTACTTAAATACCGTTTACTCTCCCATTTCAATCAATCGAAGGTTAGTCAGTTTTACCCCATCCTTCCAAGTGAAACAAAACTTATACTTAAATGTTCAACTCGAAAGAAATAAGTACACGTGAAAGGCGTTAACCTTTCAATGCACGAACTAATTTTTTTTTTTTTTTTACATTTTTCAGAATAATTATCGAAGATCTATTTTAAAAATAATATTCACAATTTTCACGTTACTCATTGAACTTATTCCATATTGTTCGAATCACTTTTCCGTATTTACAATTAGATGTAATTAATTCTAACAAAAATCCAACAAATTTGTAACCTTCCAGAATAATTTATTAATATAATATTATAATCGAATTATTAATGAAATCTTGTTCGAAGATTTATTACCAACAACATTGATAATTGTTTCGCTTTTATTTTCAGAACCTACTTTCGAGCCGTATCGAGCCATATCAGCAGATAAAATTCGCAGAATCGGTATCTCAAGAAGAAAATCTGAGGAGGAAAATAAAAGCGGTAACGGTGCGAGGACGACCGCAAATTTTGTAAAAAATAAATCCAACGCATTCTCCAACGGACAGTACAATCCGCTTCGCTCGGTTCACTTCGTTCTGGCCACAGTGAGTTCCACTCACGGTTATCCAGTTCTCCGTGAGCATTAGAACAGTACAGTTCAGTATCTTCACGCGATTCCATTCCATTTCAACATTGCAACCAGCGATTCGTCTCTCGATTAACTTTCAACGATCGATTCGCGTCGAAATTAACGAAATTAGTGGGTTTAAAGTGCAACGTTCCTTTCTTCCCAAACAATTAAGAAAGAAGAAATTAGGAAATACGATATCCGAAAACTACGAGAATGTCCAGGCTGGAATCGACAAAGGTGATCTCGATCTGAAGAACAATATTGTCTCGATAAATAAATAAATAACAGAAACGAATCTTGTTCCAAGATTGAAAGGAGGGAGGGAGAAATGGCGAGCGTGGACAATAATCTGGAGGAATTGATGAGCCATCTCGGGGAATTCGGTAAATATCAATTCTGGCAGTTCTCTCTGCACATTCTGGGTGCGTTGACGGCCGGTCTGCACATGCTGACACTGTTGACAGTGGCCGCGGTGCCACCCCACGAGTGCAACGTGCCCGAGGCCATCACTCTCGTGGACAATCTCACCGTGATCGGCAATTCGAGCGGGGAAAATGTTCCCCGAGCGATCGACGCGTGCTACTACTTAGACGCGAGCAACTCGATCAAGGAGTGCGATTCGTGGACGTACGACACCCAATACTTCCAATCGTCCCGCGGCATGGAGTGGAACTTTGTCTGCTCGCGGAGATGGATGGGCGCCCTGGCCCAATCCTCCTACATGTTCGGCGTGTTCATCGGGGCGGTCACGTTGGGCAGCCTGGCCGACAAATACGGCAGAAAGATAATATTCTACGTGTCGGCGATCGCCCAACTCGTTCTAGGAGTTTCGGTCGCGTTCGTGGACAACTACCACCTGTTCCTCGCGTTCAGATTCCTGTACGGGATCTTCGGCTCGGCGGGCGCCTACATAACAGGATTCGTCCTCAGCATGGAGCTGGTCGGCGCTACGAAGAGGACCGTGTGCGGGATAATGTTCCAGCTGGCGTTCGCCGTCGGTTTCATGCTGGTCGCGATCTGGGGAGCCGTGATCAAGGATCGTATGTGGTTGCAGATCGTGTACGGGCTTCACAGCGGCCTGTTGGTGGGCCACTGGTGGCTGATGGACGAGTCGCCCAGGTGGCTGTGGGCCCAGGGCCGCGTCACGGAGGCGCTCGCGATCGTGCAGAGGGGTTTGAGGATGAACGGTGTCGACGTGGACGTGGACGCGGCGAAATTGATCGGGGATCAGGGCAAGATGGGCGGATCAGGGCAGGCGTATCGAAGGGAGCGGTCTTACGGGGCGTTGGACTTGTTCAAGACGCCCAACCTCCGCAAGAAGACGTTGAACGTTTGCCTGAATTGGTTCGCCAACTCGATCGTCTATTACGGCCTGTCTTTGAACGCGGGCAACCTGGTCGGCAATCCCTTCCTCATGCTGTTCCTCAGCGGCCTGGTCGAGCTGCCCACCTACGTGATGACCTGTTCCTGATGGATCGGGCAGGGAGAAGGTGCATGGTCACCTCGTTCATGTTGATCGGCGGAGTGTGTTGCATAACAGCCTCGCTGATACCCGCCGGCTCGGATTTGGCCAGGACGGCGATCGTGGGCATCGTTCTGTTCGGCAAGTCGAACATATCGGGCTCGTTCGCCGTTATTTATAATTACACGGCCGAGCTGTTCCCCACCGTGGTGAGGAACACCGCTTTGGGGATAGGATCGATGTGCGCCCGTCTCAGCGGCACTTTGACACCCGCCATAATGCTGTTGGACTCGTTGGACCCCAAAGTGCCCGCCGTTCTCTTCGGTTTCGTCGCCCTTGTTTCCGGTTTCCTGTCCATGTATCTGCCCGAGACCGTGAACCAACCGATGCCCGAGACCATAGAGGACGGGGAGAATTTCGGCAGAGACGACACCTGTTTCGCCACGTGTTTCGGCTCGGATAGAAAAGGCAGGTCTACTTACGAAGTTAAGTTGAATCAATTGACGGAGAAGGACGAGAAGGAGAGGTTGAATCAGGGTGAAAACGCTAGGGAATATTCCTCTTGAAATATAACGTGGTGGGAGGAGGGAAAAATTTCGAAAACGTAAAAGAATTATTATTATTATTTTTTTTCTTTTTTTCTTTGTTATTATTATTCGTGAAAAAATTCGTTTCGACTTCGAATTCGTGTCTACTGAATTTCTGGATTTTCGTAATTGCAATTGGAGAAATCCAGTCGTGCAAATGATGCAACGGCCATTGTTTAAACCGCGCGTTTATTATTTTGCTTCGAATGCAATAGTTCAATTTGAAATGTTTTTCTTTTAATTATTTTGTTACAGAAAAATTCCGCAGCGTTAATACGGCGATTGTTTGACGTGCAAATGTTTGTTGTTATGCTGTTGTTATGTGCTGTGTGCAATTTTCGAAAAAAAGAAAAAAAAAGAAAAAAGAAAATTGAAGAATATTGCGATACGTGAAACATTAATTTTACTTATCTTTTCCACGGTAAATCTAGAAGCAGAGGCAAGTTTTTTCCGTATATAATAATCGTACAATTTTTATGATTATTTCTATTTACTAGTACATTCATTGTTGAAGAAATAATATACGAGTAAATTCTATTCGATAAATTTGACGCGAATATTGTTACGAATATTCTCTTAAAACTTTGCGATTTATAATTATACATTTTTTACATTTATCACGCGCATGATAAATATAGGTAATGACTCGAATAGTATGCAACGAATATATTTAAAAGGATTTAACAAAAGGCCATTGTTCCTACTCTATTTTCTATTTGGTGTGAGAAAAGATAGAGTGACAAAGAATTTATTGTTCTTAAAAAGAAATGTATGCATCTGGAAAGAAAATTACTAGAAAGACTGAAATTTCTAGAAATTGTTCAAATCAAAGTCTTTTTACGAAAGATTCTTTGGAAAATACTTCATCGAATATCTGTACACTTATAATATAAAATAGATAAAAATTTTTAAAACTTAATTTTCAACGTTTTCAAACGTACCTATGATAATAAGATTGAATAAGATTGAATAAGGAGAAATTATATTTTTTTATTATCTTGCAAATGTAAATAATAACAATTTTTGGCAAGAATAAATAACTCGATAAGCAATTTAATACGCGATCATTTTTCATACACTTGTTAAATTTTCAATAATAAGTCTTCATCTTTGTCGAATGTAAAATATATATTTTTTCATCAAACACAGAGTATTTTTCTAAAATATTTACAAATACGATATTTATAAGCAGCATGAGCAACAAGATGATGAATTTCTAAATAATAAATTGTCTTTTAAATAATAAAGTATCTTAATAAATTATTTACTAAAAACAAATATTTTTCACTATTCATTTTCTTATTATGTATTATTATTTCTCTTTCTTTTTAAAAAAATTTTATTGCTCATAATAAGTTTTTTCCTGTTATTACACACTATAAATAACGAAACTGAATTACCTTTAAGACTATTGCGTAATTATAACACACTTATGTAACTTCTTCTATAAATAATATATGCACGTATCTGTAAAAAATTTTTATTCGTTACAAGATCCATAATTTAAAAACAAGTAATATATATTAATTCTTGTTACTAATTCTATTATGTTATGTTGTTATATATTGTTATCACATGATTAGAACAATTTCAATTAGAATATTTTAAAATTTTAATTTTTAAAAATAACGATTCAACCTTATTTTATTCTCCGAACTCTAAAATTAATTTTTCTTATTGTTCTCTCATTACGAAAATAGATTTCGTAAGAAACAGAAAAAGTTTTCGAATGCTACTACATTGAAAAAGTATTCTTGCATAATCGTGTAACTATCCAGTTGCCTCATTGCATTCATGCCATTTCAATCATCGAACGTGTTCAGATAAAATATGTGAAATTATTAAAACTACAAACATAACATGTAAATAATTAATTTGTGACATAATTATTTGCACAAAAATCTTGCTTTACTTTTAAATTTTACACGAATTGCAAGAAAATATTATCATATAACCATTTTTTATTATTTTTTTTTTCCAAAAAATTATTATCCATTTTAATTAAAAATCACTCTGATTTATACGCCCGTTTTTCATAGATGTAAAACGTCACGTCTCTTGCTCTTAATTTTGCGAAACAATTGAAAAGTATCATTCGAAAAAGAAAAACTTTTCTTCTTTCCCTTCTACACTCGTGATCCATTGAGGAAGGTCTAGGTCATGGACTACTGATCTCTTTCTTTGTACACATCTATGTAGTACGCTTTCTACGTATATTGAAAAGCGCATACGTACATAGTAAGCAGAAGGATTTTTATCATCATCTATGTCACGTTCTCATCGATAAAGTTGAACTTGTGCTCCGATTCTTATACACATGTTCAAGAGGAAAGTATTTTCTTCTGCAATTCAATCACGTTTTATGCTTCACTCCTTAATAAAGACGATTCGTTAAAAATATAATATCATTTATTGACAAGATTTAAAAAATTCCATGAATATATATATCCCTCGTTTATATAAAAATAAAATTTATATAAAAATTTATTTCTAGAGTAATATAATTGTAATAATGGTAAAATTAAAATTATGAATGCAAAATAAAAGTCTCGTGTCTCGATTGATTTGGATTACTATTTTTTTTTTACGAGTTCTTTGCAAATTTATATTTATATTTTTAAAATCGATGATCAAGAATATAAAAATTCTTGAGACAAAATATACAAAGATTTTTTTATAAATAGGAACTGTACATAATTAATTACATACAAAAATTATAACTGCAATCGCACAGTTTCCTTCCTAATGGATATTTCATTGGTAAGAAATATTTACATTTTATTATTAAAATATTTATCGGTAAAATATAATAATCGTTTTATCGTACTTCTTAAAAATATATTATACGTTATAATTATTTAGGCTAAGAGAAGTTTCTTCTATTTCTATGTATTTCTATCTATGTTATTCCGAAATATTTGTGTTCTATCATTTGTGTTTGTAATACATATTATATAATTTTCGCTTTGTTAAATTACTTTATTTTTCGTGCGAGAAATTGTTTATAACAAAACAAGATATGATGTTTATAATCAATGTTATTAATTACGTTGATATTATTAATAAATGTTATAAATGTTAACATAAAATCTTTTTATTTTTTACTTTCCTTATTATCATACCATCATATCAAGAATATCTTTGAAAAAAGGTGTAAATATTCAAAAATTATATTTTATTAATAAATCGTACGAAATAAAAACACAAAGATATGAAAAAAATATACTAAACTGGCCAATCCAAAATTTTTCAAAGAATTTGAGAAATTAAAATTAAAATTACGATCAAAATTGCTTAATATTTATTGTAATATCCTAATATTTTATAAATCATTCATTTAATAGAACTATTAATTCCATTCATTGAGAATTATTCTTCTTTTTATTAATTTTCAAAAAAAGTGTCAGAAATTGATTAACAATTCGATTGGAGAAGAAAATTATTTCTGCTTATTCCTTTAGTAGAATATTAAGATACTAATAAAAATTCTTTCTTTTTAACGATATTATATATATTTTTTCATTACACGCACCAATTATTTCTTGCACCATGCAACGATGTCTGTATAAAAATATTGATTTCGATATTCGTGAAAATACTTTGCGTGCTAAATGTAAATTTTAATTGACTAATTTAATTCTAACGCGATAGAATATATTATAAATTGAAAGGTCGAAATTTTCATGACATTCGAAACTATTTTATTATTCTATTTTGCTACCGTGAAAGAATTCTGAAATTATAAAAAAATCGAAAAATCATTAATCATAAATTTATATTAAAAATCTTTATACGCAATATTGAAAATTTCTTTTTAAAGATATAATGTGCCCTATTATTTCAATTGAAACATGGCACGACTTTGATTAATATAACCAACTTTTATTATATCTCATTATATTATTGTGTTATTAAAAATTTTAGTAATATGCATAAAGGACAAATAGAAAGACCTCATCTTTTTTTTTTTTAATTAAAGCAATTTTTATACTTTCTATTAATCCTCTAATTTCTACTATATTTTTTCATAGTAAACCAAATAATTTAAAAATAATTTGCAAGTTTATTTCTTGCGTATATTCTTAATTATTTCTTATCTTTAAATTCATATAGTATTCACATTTCAAATTATTTCTAGTTTTAATCTAACTTATACTCACTTAAAATTCCTTAAATTATGAAAAGTATCAAAATTGTCGTTTAAACATTACCACGATCTTATGGAGTTTATACTTCAACGAATTAATCCAACAATTAAGTTAATGAAAGAATGACAGCTTATGCAAGCACAAGTCATTAAGTTTCAAGCTTTACTCTCTATTCAACATTGCCATATTACATATTTTACTGTAACTATAAACTTCTTCGCGTTACATTAAGCCAATTTTACGTTAGGATACATCACGCATTACTGAAATACGATAGATACGAGATACGTGTGCAATTACCATAACGAGATATTCGAAATTAACTACTGCACCCAAGTTAAATAAAAATAATAAAAAAAATATTTCCATTCCATTTCCTTCTTCCTTCCCTTTTCCCTTGTCGCGTAAGAACAATAAATCGTAATAATATATGTTAAAAGAAAAAGAATGAAAGCTTTGAAAAATATTCTCTATAAAAATAAATATGTTCTTTCTTTCTTTCTTTCTTTCCTTTTTTTTTTTTTTTAGTTGAAATTTCACGCGTTGGAACTATTTTATTAAAAAGAAATAAAAAAATGAAGGGAAAAAAGGAATAATTTTCTTCTCACAGCTTAATAAGAACAACACGATATCATAATGAAGAACAATAAAGTAACTTTTTTTTTTATTACGGTAAAAGTCGTAGAAAATTGTGGAAATTTCATTCTCGTGGTTATTTTACACGGATGTTATTTAAATAATAAAAAATGTAATAAAAAGATGGATTTTACGAATCCACAATTACTGTGCAAAATAATAATAAAAAAATTGACGGTTCTATTATTATTCGTTAAATAATTGACTCTGTAATACACGAAACAAAAACAAATCAAAGCTTTTTTCTTTCAAGCTTCCCCATTTTCCACAGAAATGCATTGCACACTCCAACCAATTTTTCAACTAGAATATTTGCTCTAGCTTTAATAATAAGTTTAAAAAAGAGTACTAATGATTTTATCAAAATAATTTATAATTTTAATTAACTTATAATTTTATAACTAACACTATAATTAAAAATAATAATAATTTTAACATATTCGATGATCCAATATATCCACGTACGTTTAATACACAAAAGGACAAGTTGGGAAGTCTAACTTGCTCCTTCGAACTGTATAATCTCATTGCACGCATACAAAGTGCGACGAAAAATATTGTACAACGATGCAGGAAGTGATGTGGAAATCGGGGGAGCAAGAGAAATTTCCCTTCGACTAATTTTCGATTAATTTCTACATAGAAAATCCTCTCTTCTCGATCCATTATTTTTGGCTGCACCCTGTATATGAAAATCCTCCAGTATCTCACGCCGGAGTATCTGTTTAAAGGTGAACGACCCAAGTCCACGATATCAAACGTTGATAATATTTCCCTGAATTTATTTCGAATTTCGATTGTGTTATAATAAAATACAGGATCCGAGGAAGGATTATCTTACATTCATCGTTTAACATCGTCGTGCTATTGGAAATTTTGCATCCATAGGAAATTTTAAAATGTGTGGAAATAAATCTGATTTATTTAAAAAACTCAGAAATTTTTATTTCTATTTTTTTACATGTATTCATGGTGTGCTTGAAATTTTAGTTTATTTAGTAACGTGTATTATAAGAATAATGTAAAATAATTCTAATTTTAATAAATAAATTTCAATATTAGAAGAGTTAAATTCTATTTTTAATTTATTCAATATTATGTGTTGGAATTTTATTGTTATCTTTTAGAATATTAGAATATTATCTATTTTCTAAAAATATTTAATGTTCCATTTTATGCTGTTTAAAATTTTTAACGTTGCAGTTTTAAGAAATAATAGTGTAGCACGAAGTAGTAAATGATCGTTGAAATATTTTTAAAATGAAATTTCGTTAAAAAAGGAACATATTTCATTCGTATTCTCAATATCTTTCGAAGATTATCGTGCTAATTATGCGGAACACGTTGACTAAACAGAACTTAAACAAAACTTAGAAATTTCTATTTACTCGCGAGTATATGCGTCATATCCATCGTGTGAAATTAAAATCAGATATTTATATACCGTTAAAAATAAAATTTAATATTCAAACACCATCCTATTTTTATTTATATTCCTCTAATTAATATGGTGAATAATTTCAGATCGATTCCTTTATTTAAAAATTCTCGAGACGTATATAAATCACACAAAATTAATTTTACTAAATTCAAATTAATTCGATGAAATTCTTTTCTTCAAAAATAATAATATAAAAATAAAATATTCAAATGGAAGAAATTCTAAATAACTTATGTAAATTCATTTAACAAATTGTATTACCAGGCTTCTGTTTTTAATAAAATTTTATAAATACGTAAAACGTAATGAATTATATATACGATGCAATTTATTTCAGCAAAATTCAAGGGGGCGAAATCAACGGTTAAAATTTCATTTGCTTTTCGTCCAATTCGTTTCACAAGATAGAGAAAAATTTTAATACCAGTCTGTGTATCACCCTGCTAAAAAAAAAAATAATGTCAAGTGAAATTATATTTCAGAACACGAAAAAAAAAAAAACTTTGGTTCCACCACTCTCGAAGAATTTTTCCATCAAAATTACTTCTACTATTATTAATCAGATTATCCCAAACTGTAAATATTAGAATACCTTATAAAGACGATTTTCAATAAATTCGTATTAAAGAAACTTTCACGTTTTTACCAACAAAACGTAGCAAATTCGAATTCGTACAAAAATTTACGGAAATACGCGATAGAAAATGTCTTCTTCGTTTGAAAACCCATTTCTTTGATCACTGAAACGTCTTGCACGAGTTGCAAATCCACTAAAAATTCGAGTAAAATCGAGCACACTCGCGCCAAAAATAATTTTCCACGGAAAATTGATGAATGCGGAGTGAAAGGGGGATCCGGGATTACGACACCGGTCGATGGAATTTGCGGCGAGAATCAAATGGTGCGTGTGCACACGTGTGACAATGTATACTCACCTGTGTGGCCGAGATAAACACGCGTCGAGGCACGGCAAACGGATGAGAGGCGCGCGGTGGCCGCGCACCGTTCACGAACGCGTCACACCGACTGAACGTACGCTCGCCGATTGAGGTGCGGAAAATCGTTGCACAAGCGCGCGCAACTCCCTCGGGCTTCTCCCGATGCCATGCCGATGGAAAGTCCTCTCCATCCTTCCACCGGAGAGGAGCCATTCAAATTCTCGCTTCTCTGATCAACCGAGTGCACGAACGAATTGGCCAAGGATAAAGAGGTGACACGTTCTTTTTTGCTTTTGGAGTAGACGGTCTTGAGATGGCTGTATTTGGAATTCTTGGACATTCAATTTCATACGAAATTTTATGACGATCGATCGAATGGAGGAATGAATGAAATAGAGAAAGAGTAAGAGGTTTTTTGTTTTTGGAGTGGAAGGTTTTGGTAGATTGTTATATTGGAATTTTACATGAAACCTGTGAATCGAATTTAAAATTCGTGATAACCAGTACAGGAAATGGACGAAATGGAAAAGATAGGAAGAATAAGTATAATTTTAGGAAACGAAGTACCAAAATGATCTCGTTTTTATGTACCACGTAAACGAGTTCTCGAAATAGAAGCTGTTGATTAATAGAAAAAAAAAAAAGAAAAAAAAAATAGAAGCACAAATTGGAATCTGAAAAATACATACGTTTGATTATCTATTGGTGGAACTGCAAGCTTCGAGCATCTGGCTTCCACTGTTTCATTAGCAACCCTTCAAGTGTATAGGAAGGGTGCCTATCAAAGAATCTGGGGTGAATGATTGGAGGGTTAAAAGCATCGAAGCTTGAACAACATGGATGTTTCTAAAAACTACTATTCGCTAAAAAAAAAAAAATACATTCTTCAAACAACAAAAATAATATTTGAAGTTCTAAATATCAACGTTTATTCTTCATTCTGAAAATTGTAAATCTTCTTATATAAATTTAACGAACACATATCCTTTTGTATTCTTTCACTATATTTGTAAATTTATTTCACCTATTATATTTTGGATAATAACATATGTGTATTCATATGAATCAATATAATTGTCGTGTTTTGAATTTTTCAAAGAGAATTTACCCCATATTTATTGAAAGTTTTTGGATTGAAAGTTTTTGAACAGGAAATAGCAGAAAATGTATAAAAGTTAAATCAATGCAACGTGAAGATATTGATAAAATATATTTTTATATATATTTGCATCGCACTGTTTTCAGATATTACATTAATATCTATATTGGATACATCTCTAACGACACCACTTCTTATTAGTTTCAAGATGAATACTTTTCGCAATCACTCTCGATAATTTGTACTCTAGTAACATAGAATGTACATTCCCGCCATCCTTCTCAAATTTTTATTTTTCTTCTCCTTTATTTTCTTCCCTCTCTTTCTCTTTACATTCCTCACGGTATAATAATATGCAGATATAATATGGTAAATTATCATATTATACTTTTATCGTAGTGTCACATTTCGATAATGAAGAATGGAATGAACGAGATGTGTACTTATCGACGATATGTTCGTTTAATGTAAAACAAATCAGAGAATAGTATTCTTAATTCGGGGAACTTACTAATTTTATTTTTCTGGTTTACAATTTTCATGTGTCTTTAATCGTGTGTTAAAGAAAATTATTACAAACAAAACAAACTAGAAATATTATTCCATGAAACATAAAATTTTGTCAACGTGTTTAACGTGATAAATTTTTGGATAATATTCTTTACGAACGAGAAAAAACACTGGAAATTAATATTAATACACGATATAAGTTTCGAAAGCGATTAATGATAAATTTGAAAAAAGAATATTATAATTTCCAAAAAAAGGATGTCAAAAGCTTGTCTTATTTATAAATTTCTATAATTGACACATTGAATATTGTTAACCAAATTTGTATTATCTAACAATTTATCTTGTTTGAATTGTAAAAGGATACAAATATCTTCGATTAAAAATTTCTCTTGCAATGATATTTTATATAAGCACAATCTGGTTAAGTATAAAGAAATTTTTTTCGTCAAAAATACTTAGTTTAAAAATTTTCAAAAACATATCCTTCCAATTCGTATATAATTCGTTCGATATTTGTTAATTTGTTTATAAAATAAAAACAAGTCTTTCCGTTTTTAACACGATAGATATATCTAATTATAATTATTGCTGAGGATCACAGCAGTAGTCTAGTCTTCGGAATCTTCGGCGTCTAGAATAGATTTAAAACAAAATGGTTGAAATGGATAACCTTGGCCATCGTAGAATTTGCTCATAAACTCCACCCTGGAAGAAAAGAAGAAACAAGGAACAAGTGAAAAATATTTTTGGAAAAAATAAATAAACTAAACCTTTCTGGAAATTTTAAACTAAAATGTTCATCGTGATATTTAATAAATAAAATTTTCATTCGTCATTCTTATTGTATATCTACTATTCATATTGCATAACCATTTATATTTCGTATTTAAATTGATATTATTTTAATATAAAATATAAAATAGAGAAAAGTATAAGTAAAACATATAAAAACAAATAACTATCTTCCACTTTATTCTTTGCCAAATGTAACTCTTTAACGACATATAATAAATAAGAATAATTTCAAATAAACCTTATCACACACGTTTGAGGATAGATATTAGAAAAAAAAAAAAAAAGAAAATTAACAACAAATATTATTTGAACAAAATATCAATATCTACATTAATTCTGGAAAAATCAATCTTTCGTGAGTTTTGTCCGCTTGAAAAAGAATTAAGAGAAATAGAAAATTGTCCCAATCGTTGCATGCGAGTGTAAAATAAAATATATTTCACGATCGTTCTATTCCCTGCACACGAATCGAATTGGCATTTAACTTTTTTCTCTTCCACGTACCAGTGAAGCCGAAGTGTATGAAGGAAGGCTGACAGGCCTTCCATCATGACAAGAATGGCAACGGTGAAAGAGGCCCATGCGGCGAACACGAAAAATAGCATGACGGCCGACACATAATTACCCTCGGCAGCGAGTAAACCCTTACGTAGAACCATTGACCACAAAACTTCGGAAAGTTGTCCGTGGGCCAACGACAAAGCCCACAAACGTAGGTAAGAGGCAGTGTGTGATATCGTTGAGAGAACGTATTCTATAGTGTGAATTGCCTGGTGTATCATTACTTCGCCGAACGACTCGTCCTCGTGTTCATCAGTTGCATCGCTGGTCGACGGATTATTTTGCAACCCTTTACTTTGCAACTCAATGTCTTGGGACGCGATTCCATCGCTCTGAAAACACGAACGGAAAAAAAATTAATCACAAAGCGAAAATACGTAAAAGTTTTGCGATAAAAATCGCGTTAATCGCGTGTATTCTTCTGTTAATGAAAATCTGATAATAAATATTTAAGTGCGTCAATAAAAGTACATTTATTTACGCGATGAAATTTATTTTCGAGATAGATTTTACGTTTTTTTTTTTTTTTAAACGCGTACCTCGCATTTATATACGTTAAAATCGTTAAAATTTCGTTTTACGTTCGGATAAAACGACGGACGCGACGTATTTCGAGTTAGTTGGGATTAAGTTAAGAATTATTTACCATGACTTTTCCCGCCTGTGCGTTTTTTTTGTGCAATAAGAAAAAAAGTGGTTTTCCAAACAGCATCACGGGCACGCATAACGCTGCAATTACGACACAAGCGAGCTGAAGAGTGGTCTGGCCGGGAAACATGTACTCTGAACAACCTTCGCGCACTTGGGCATGACCCATCAGTATCATATTAATAAACGTGATCAATATCGATGGTGCACAGCCAGGAGTATACGCCATGTCTACAAAAACATGGTGAAATATCGTTAAATTTCATCTGATTTGGACAAAATTGGACAAATTACAACTCGGAAATTATGATACGTACCTGGCGAAGTGGGACTGTATAAGACCCATTTAACAAACATTAAGGCTACCAGGTAGAGAAATAATACAACAAGGAAAAGCAGTTGTGGCAAGAATTCTAAGAAAAGGCTCGAGTATTCTTGAAATGTCTACAGAGAAATATAGAAATTATTTTTATAAAAGAAAAAATTGTATCGAACAAATGATTGTCGGATGAAAAAGGATTGTATCGAAAAGTGTACAATTTTTAAGAGATTTTGCTTCTTGATTTTTTTGAAGAAAAAAAAAGGAATACAATCCTTCTTACATTTAATTCAACAATTTGAGTAATTTCAATTTATATCGATTCATTAGTGAGGGGGGGAGGGGGGGGGGAATGATGAGAGCAGAGTTCATATTATATACAGATTGAAGTTATATATAGTAATCGTTTCTAAAAAAAAAACCTACATAATATTAATGGTACTCATGAACACGCCAAATATCATATGCACGACACCGAAGATGATGGACAGCTTCATTTTGTACGAATTTAAGAATATGATCTTGTTCTCGGCAAGCACCCAAACTGGATCCATACCCAATGGATAAGGGTACTGTTTGTAATCATTTTTGGCCGGGTCCAATTCCATAAGCTCATTATTCATGATTGTTTTATTGTCGAACTGTATGTCCCAACTAGACCCGAATATGTTTATTGATCTTGAGAATACGTCATTATAGATGATGCCAGTGTAAATGGAAAACAAACCCATGAGAAGGATAATGTAACGTCCGGCGAAAAATATATTCCAAATTTCGTTCGTTGTTTTTTCAGCCATAAACTTCTTCTCCTTCACGATCATAAACAGAGCGAACAGAGTCATAATTATACCTAAACAAATAAATTCGAAGTAAGTGATCCTTGCGCAAATGTGTTTAAAAAATAATATTTCATTCGTGTAAATTGTTATTTTCACATAAATTTTCATTTTCGAAAATCTTAGATTTTGGCAATGATTAGTGGAAAATATCTGAAAATATCGAAGTTGCGATCAAAACTAGTGCGAGTTTATAGTTTTCTTTTATTTCGATAAATACACAATTTTAATTGACAACTTTGGAAAAATGGTAAATAAAATTTCCAAACGAAAGAAAGTTGTGAATTGTTGTGAATTTGTTATTCACTTACCATGTCCAAAATCGCCGAACATGATGCTAAATAGAAAGGGAAAAGTGATAATCGTGTAAAGGGCTGGATTAGCTTCGCGGTACGACGCCACGCCATACGCGTCGATCAAGTTTTGAAAACCTCTGGTGAACTTGTTCGTCCTGTTAAACGTCGGAGGATTTTCGTTCGTGTAGATAACATTGAGGAAAGATGGTATCGAACTACCGCACAGACGCTAGACAAAGTGGAAATATTAATTTTTTATATTCTATTTTTCTATCAAAAAGAGGAAGCGATTCGGTTCGGTCGGTCGATTGTTAAAAATTCTTCCGAGATTTAAAATTAACTATTCACTACTTTTTTTTTTTTACATTTTTGGATTAAAAAGTTAGAGATAATTGTACTGTTTTTTAATACATCGGTTAATTAACACCGGTTACAATAAACGATTGTTGTTCGTGGATGCAAACAAAATTTCATAAAATATAATTATCTTTTAGTCGTTGTTATCAAGTTACATATTTTTTTATTAGTAATATTCGGTATTCTTATATATCGTCTGAATATTTATAAGCGATACTCATATTGTTATAAAAAAAGAAGTGAAATTTGAAGAACCAACCGATCCTTCGTTAAGGCAGTCTCTAACGATGGTAAGATCCGATACAGGCACCCAACATTCTCCTATAAGGCACTTTTTTGTTACGTCAACGTTGAACAGATTCATCGTATGATAAATCGCCTTCATCTTTCGAACCATAATCGCCCAATTGGGCAATTCCTTGGCCACGTTGTGTAAAACGCGTTGACGATGATCGTGCGTTTGATTCAAAACCTGTAAAGCGAGAAAACAGAGGGGATCATTTCAAAAACCAATGACTTGTTCGATTCGATTGATCTGTTTCAAATAATCTGTTAAAAATAAACAAGTGAATGAAACGAAGTTTAATGATTTTCTATTCGTAATCTTTTCTTCTTTCAACTATCATTTTTCTCTAATAAGCATCTAAGATACTACATCATCCCAATAAAAAGAAGAAAGTAGCAAGGAAGGGAACTGTATTACGTAATTAATGACACACGATTCTCTTCCGTGTATACCAACTTCTCACCAAGTTCAAATCTTCCAGCCTCGTTCGAACGCCCTTCACCATTTCTTGACGTTCCGCGTGGCTATGAGGGCATGGATACAAAGAGGCGTGGAAACCGGTGCACACTTTTCTTATGCGGCTCTTCAGCTGTTCTCCTTGGAAAAATGCGACGAACACCGTTTTAAATATCTGATTGCCCTAAAACAATCCGCAAAACTTATCCAACAAGAGATCGAGAAACATAAAGTATCGGCATTTACAGAAAAAAGCGTTACGAGAAGAGACAAAGAAAATTTCGTCGTCAAAATCTACTCGTGCCATCCAAAGATCCCCTTTTTGTCTCATCTTTATATCTCGATCGATCGTTATAAAGACTCAAAGTTTTAAAGTTTTTCAGTTAACGCGTGAGATTATGAACGAACTCGTCGCTCATTGATTTGTATTTTTTTCTTGGAAATGCGTTTTTCGCATCTGTCTCGAGTTTGGGATAAGCTCGATAGTAACGATAGTAAAAATGATTAAAAATTACTCTTTGTAAGGCGATATCTCCGGAACTAGTATCGAGATAAGATGAGAAAGGATTTTAAAAGGTAAGATTTTCCGCTTCTAATGGTTTTTTTTTATCGATTGACCGGGATTTATTATCTTTGGAATTATACTGGTTTATTATAAATTTTTCTTAATTTCAATAATCTAAATAAATAGAAACAATGAAAAATAGTCTCGATAAATAAAAATATAAGATAAATATGATTCTGTGATATAAAATAAATGATAAGGTGATTCGGTAAAAGTTTTAAAAACTTTAAAATCTACTGTGAAAAATTAATTTAAATTAATTTAAAAATTCTAAATCAAATAAATCAAATCATTATTTGTATTTATATTTATGTTTGTGAGCATTGACTGTAGTAATGTCGTTTAACTTTTATTAGTTATCTGACTTTCTTTTTAAAGCGATATAAAATGATAACGTTTATTCTGCAATTAAATCTTTTAGAAAGTTGTTTCTTAATAAAAAAAATATTGAGATAAAGAAAGATAATAGATACATATGTTTCTAATGTAATGATAATATTAGAAAAATAGTATACAAAAAAAAAAAATAATAATAATAAAATAAAAGAGAGATTAAGTTTCTGGAAAATTCATAGAAATCAGTTTAAAGATGTGTTAAAGATTATTTTAAAATCGAATTTTTAAATATAAATTCATATCATATTTTAATACGAGATTTTTTTTTGAATTTGAGAAAACAAAGAACGGAAAAAATCTACAAAATAACGAATAATCATCGAATTCTTTTCGAGAGAAAGAATTAATTACGAACGAAATTAAAAATTAAAATTGAATTTCTACTTAGCAATCTAATAATAATATTAACGCTAAAAATCATAATATTAAGATTAATATCTTACCAAATTCTTCGAATCCTTGTGTGTATGTTATTTTAGAGATAGATATAACAATAATGAGAAAACAGACACAACAAAAATAGATTAATAAAATTAAATCTACGTAAGCGATCGATAATTTTTACATTCTCATAAGCTAGACAAGAAAAAAATCGATTTTATTTTTTTTTTTTTTTTTTTTTTTTTTTAGTTTTTAAAAATGAAGTAGATAGAGAAAAAGATAGGAAGTGAACTAACAGTAGCTGGATCTTCTAATGGTTTGTCAAGCTCAGCCTGGCGCAGAAACACGTTTCCACGGGATATTCGCCACAACATTCTCTCGAAAGCTGGTACTCGTTCTCGGTTTATTACCCCAGCAACGAATCTACAAAAATAAAATTTCATTTCTAACAGAGCAAAAGATTAAAGAGAGAGTAAGAAAAACATTCTCGATAAATTAATATATAATCTTGAAGAATAATTAAATTTAATAATCGGATAAAAATGGTATATAAAATACTATTTTAACAATCCTTTTCGTGAAAAGAGAATAAACAGAATTGGACAACTGTGATCAAAATATATAAAAGTTTGAATTCAATAAAATTGCATCGAGATCTCCTATTTTTCTATTGAAAACCCAAAATCAAGAAGAATCAATTATTTTAAAGAGATTTAACGATTTAAATGAAAATACATTTTCATTTAATCGTGAGAAAAAAGAATATACCAGATTATTTTGGCTAATTATAAAGGAATGTCGTATCTCTAAAAAGATAAAGAGACACTGATCTAACGCGTTATCACGCGTTCAGGGATTAACTCGGCCAATCCTGGATTTGTAATAAAACCGGATCTCTTTCCAGAATGTACAGAATTAAATTCCATTTTTAATTCCACAGATTCCACCGCGCTTCGTCATCTTTTTTTTTTTTTTATGAAATATAAATTTGCATAAATCACACATTGTGTATCTGCATATCAGTAAAACATACTCAAGACGTCCCCTAATCGTCGTGTTCGGATTCTGTGGTTCCTCGTTTATTAGCGTCCTGGTGATCGAGTCATTGGCCTCTTCCTGTTGATATAGAAGAAGATACGAATCTTGATTCTTCGACAGAACGGTAACATCGATTACACGAAGGAGGACGACGCTATGAGCAAAAGCTGCTGAACTACTTTAGCTACCTCCGTGAAAAATACTTGGGTCTTCTCGAGCACATGCCGTAATTCCGTCAACTCGAGGTAGTTACTCTTCAGGTTCACCGCGTTTTGGCTCAGCTCTAATATGTCGTTCTCCGTTTCCTCGAGATGGGCCTGAAACACCGCAACCATATCTCAACACCTGTTTCGATCTCGCTTAGTATACACGGAGTATATACACGGGTTCTCAATCCCGTGGACATTGATGAGGATACGAAGTGGATTTTCATTTTTTAAAATTCTTATACTTTTAATGGAAACTTTGATTAATTTTCAATATAATTTTCAATAGTATGAATAATGTTAATGTTTGATATTTAAAATAATAAATATAGAAGATTTAGATAGAAGAATAAAATAAATAATTTCTGACTCGTTTTAAAGTATCGAATTTTTCGCAAAGGACAAAAATTTCTACTCGAAATCTCTTCGATTCTTCTTGAAATGTTGGGGGGGGGAGGGGGGAAAGAAAATTACGCGATAAAGAATCTTACCTCGAGATCTATGATCATACGTGGATTCGGTGCCCGTGGCAGTTCCGTGAGATTGTCGACGATCGGCACTCCGTCTTTCCTCACCTCGGCCTCGATGTAACGAAGCTTCCTCTCCATCTCGTCGCATCGACGCACCTCGTTCACGAACTTCCGTTGAAAATAGTTCACATCGCCGTTGAGCTACGAACGAATCGACGATAAAATAAAATAAAACGTCGCACTGATCTAAGGATTTTCGTTCTCCTGGAAATTAAACTCTCGGTCTAAACAAATATATGACCGATTTTCGTCGACTCGAACTTACGATCGGCCTTGAACACTTGATCCGAATCAATGGAAATGATTCATCGTGATTCACGATCGGGGATGCGTTAAGGCCGCGTATGAACCCGACACGCATAAAATCGCTTATATCAGTTGTTATGTCATGGACATTAATGATAATTTCTAGGCCAGATACCACCACGCAAACTAACTTTCAAGGAAACTTACCGAACCTTTTGCTTTTCAATTCGATTGAAAGACATAGGAACGAGATATAATCTTAGTATATCTATTTTTCTGGACCAAATATTTTAGGGATAAATTCTTTTCTTCTTTTTTTTTTTTTTTTTCGAAAATAAAAAGAATGTAATGTTCTACAATTTGAGAATGAGTTTCGTTAAAAAGAAATATATTTATCATTTAATTACTTACTAATTAGATTAGAAATGTTTAAGCGCTTATACAAAATGTAAATATCGTTATTTAAACTTCATTTCTTTAGCCACGTTCAAACAAAGATAAAAATAGTATTTTGCATAGAGATCTATTAATAATTATTTAAGATATAAATTAAAATTAAAAGTTAAAAATTTTCAGAATTATTAATAGTTTCTTGCAATAAATTGCATTTTATCTTTTAGATTCATCTAACTTTCATCCTAGACATATCGAAGATATCGTTCTTCATAATAATAAGAAGTCAAACATTATGGCGCCACAAGGTCAACATCTTTCGAAATAATTACAATAATTATATCTGTGCATTCGCAAAGATTGTAGATATCGGAGAATATGAAAAAGATTGCAATAATAATAACTTACATCACGAAACTGCACCGTGCCCGTTTCTCCAAGCTCGGAAACAGAAAGATAGGCCGCCTCTGGCTGAATGAACAGCTGGCAGAGCGCCATCTGCTCGCTCCTGAACATCGCCCCCATTCTGAAGGCGAGTTACGTTTTGTCCTGCAACAAAAAAAAAAAAGAAATAATTCTTATTATTAAGATATAATGGAAAATTTTGAGACAAGTGGAAAAAGTTGCGTAACAACGAATGATCATTATTTAAAACTTGAGGTAATTTGCATTCGTTCGTGTAGGAAGATTTATATATTAAGATCTAATATTTTACGTCGATTTTTAATGATAATAAAAAATTTAGTCGAAAATTCAATTTGTTTTTCATTTTATTTTGATTTGGATAAATCATCTTTTAAATTTTTTGATACGAAACGTATGAAACGTTTATAAATTCCATAAAAATTGTTAAAAAATATAGAAGAGATATCGTTTAAAACACTGTATCGATATAGAAAATATAATGTCTATCATATAATGTGTAAAAAGTGAAAATTAGAAGAATTGAATAATTTTTAAAAAAAACATGAATGTTAATACGACTAATATAACTAATTATGACCAATTATGACCATACATGCATATACACACACCTATGTATACCTATGTAGAAGTGAGAATTTCTAAAGGTGAACAAATAACCTCCTAATTAAAGTTAAATAAGAGAAAGTTAGTGGTTAGAGCACATTAAATTAAAAAGAAAACATAAATTACACATAACGTTAAATTTATACAAGTTTATATTTTTATGAAGCTATGCATATTGTATAATCACTTTTGTATATAATCAATGTCAAATTAATATAAATATTAATGCTAAATAATTAAAAATCGCTTATGAGTGAAATCTAAGAAATTTTATTCTCAAGAATTCACAACCTGATACTCATTGATAAGAAAAATAATTTATCATTATCTGTCGGTCGTTGTATCAATTTATTCAAATGCAACACCATGCACATCAATTATCATAAATTTTTTTTAAACATTTTAATCTTATTTTCTATAGCCAAT